GCCCAACTGCCAATGATGCATCCATCATTTTATCGCCTCTTCGGGAAGGACGTTTGGGGCAAAGTAGCAGTGGTATCGAAAGGTTGATTTGACGGCCATGATTTGATCATAATTTATGCATTGATTTTAATGATGTACGTGAGTTCTATAAAATTTTATTCTTATTCTATGTTTACAAATTGTTAAAAATGAGTTACATATTAAACAAATGAGATTGCAAAGTGTGAATTTGGAGTAAAACTGATCCAAATGATTTTTTTTGACAATCGTTTGGACCCTAATTTGGTTATGAATGAAAAGTTAAAAAAAAAAAAGGAAAAAAATGAATCTTTTTGTTAAACTTTTAATTTTGTTACTTGTAGAGAAAATTATTTTTTCCATCCCTTATTTTCTGTCACCCTTAATATTTATGACATTCACGACTAAAAAAAATGTACAGGTACTTTCATTTTTCCATATATGTTAGTAAAAAATTGCCATGAACAATCATGAAAGTAGTACCACCACCAATAATAATCCTCATCACCAGTGGCTGTTGGATCAAATGGTAAAGTGTTTGATACCCATGAAACAGGTTCTCGAATTTGTTTGAGTCTTGTAAAAGGAAAAACAAACATTCAGCAAGAAAAATCAATTGAGACCCAGTGTGATCAATGAATGTTGGGTAGTATTCACAAGAATAATAACAACAACAATGGAAAACATAGAAAGATTCCTTTCTTTCTTTCTTTCACATCAGCATATTTCTGTCTCTGTGCTGTCTGTTGCCCGTACTTTATGCATCATTTGAGAAAAAAAGTATCATATTGGTACTAAAATGGTATTGGAGAAGCACATGAAAGTCAGTGGAAAAAATAGGTAGAGAGATAGAAAGATTCCAGAGTCCAAATTGATCTAACAATCCAATCCACCTCAGGATTCCCAATTCTTGATAGACTATATAGCACCATCATTTGTTACTCCAGTTCATCGGAAGAAAACTGAAAAACCAAATTTAATAGGAGGAAGAAGGAGAAGAAGCAGTAGGAGTTGTGGCCTGTGGGGCCATACCCCAATATCCATCCAGAACAGAAAAGAGTAATCGGTTGTTTTGGAATATGGAGGTCCGAAACGACGTCGGAGATGGTAACTTGTCGCCGGAAGATCACCCTCACGAACAATCGTCTCCGGCTCTGTCTAAGCAAGTCAAGTCTTCTCCTCACCCTGTCGACACCAATTCCGTTACCCAAAGGTCCTTATCTTCTTTCATTTCCTTTTCCCATGCAAACTTTTGCATTTCTATTTATCTTAATTTCTTCAATATTATTCATCAAGAATTCAAGATCTAAGCTTTTTTAAGCTTTTCCCCTTTTCCTTTCTGTTTTGTTTTTCTCTATGATTTTTCTTTTCTTTTTGTTTTCAGGTTGCAGAAAGAGTTGATGGCCCTCATGGTACCTCCCCGCCCACCCTCTTTCTCTCGTTATCTCTTCTTCTTCTTCTTCTTTTTGTAAGCATTTGAATTTGTGCTATGACTTGATTTTATGGACTATATTTGGCTGATCTTGTAGTCCTTTAATCTTTTCTTATTTGATATCATTAATTATAGGGATGTGTAGCAATCCTGGAGTACATGCGTTTCACTTCCGTGATTTAGGTCGGTTGTAGATTCGAATAAAGTTTTATACTTTAAACACTGAGCAAAACTCAGAGGCGCATAACAGAGAATTTCTATTCGAAATTGCCGTTTCGTAATTGTCTTGATGAGCGTAGAGTGGAAAAATGTTTCCCTTTTCAAGCTGAACAATTGATTCCATTTTTCTATGCTAAAATGACATTTTTGTCGCAGGGTTGTTCTTAGTTTTCTGTTTCTCAGCTAGGTGATCAAGCGTAAGTTTGGGCTAATTAGGACTTAGCTACTGAAAACCTTGTATTCGGTTTAAAATAGTTATGCTTTTTTTTTACAACACTTCCTTGTGTAATATGAAAGGAACACTTTCTGAACCAATGCACAAGCCCTTTAGCATTGGTGCAGGCTCCAAAACTTTTATTGGGGGGAGGGGGGGTGGTGGGGGGGAATGGATAATGTGGCTGGAGTCTGGTATGAACTTCTTTTGTTCAAGTTTAAACACCGCATAAGCTCCTTGACATTTTCATTCCTCGTCTTGTTTTGGTTTTGTTGTCCTTTTCTTTTTTTTCAATCTAAGAAAAGATTCCTTTAAAGATCGATCAACAACATCTTCTAATAAGCAATGCAGACTACAGTGCAGGCTATGGGTTTTAGTACTATAAGTTTTATTACTCCTAGATACTGGATGACGAGGTCAAGAGTGAAACTTTTGTTGCTCTAATGTGTTCTACTACTGATAGTTTCCTTTTTTCATGCATGTTCAGATGAGTGGAGGAGATCTTGGAGTGTCTGCTTTTCCGGAAGGGGAGAGCATTTTTACTTGGATTGGCACCATTGAGGGTGGTAAAGGAACTATGTATGAGGGTCTATCCTACAAGCTCTCTTTACGCTTTCCCCTCGATTACCCTTTCAAGCCTCCACAAGTAAAATTTGAGACAATGTGCTTCCATCCAAATGTTGACCAATATGGGAATATTTGTTTAGACATTTTACAGGTATCCCTCATCTATAATAGTTTTTTTGTACTGAATAAATGCCTTCATGATCCCAAAAGTATGGATAAGAAAGCGCTGAATGTTATCGATATGGAGGTCTTGAAACCTAGAGATGCAAGAAATGAGAGTTGGCCTCTTTTAAATTAACTTCGACTTCTCAAATATTCAAGGGGCTTGAAGTAGTTCTGGTTAGTAATTTTGAACTAGGAGGGCTGATTGAATTTGCTTCGATATGATCATGATGTGAAAGTTGAGTGGGTCCCACTGTGGCTCTCGTTGATTTGGTACCGTTAGAATTCGGATTGTGTAGTCATGAGTATTATCCGTTTGATTCTTTGACAAGATGAGTCCTTGTTGTAAAAGCTTTTTTTTTTTGCAGACCTTACAGGGCATTTTCATGATTAACTGAGACAGTGGAAATAGAAAAAAGTATATGATTCCTGTTTTATGCTTCCTATTTCAGTTTGGATTTTTTCCCACAGTTTCTTTATAGTTGGAAAAGGTTTGGAAGACAGCAGAATGAATCAATAAAGTCCCTAATCCTTCTTGTTATGCATTTATATTATCGCACACATATTTTTAGGACAATTGTGTAAGCACAATACCTGTTCTGAAGTCAATGTTAATTTTTTTTCATCTGTTTGCAGGACAAGTGGTCTTCGGCTTATGATTGCAGAACTATTCTTCTGTCAATCCAGAGTCTTTTAGGAGGTATGGAATTTCTTAATTGTTCTTCTTTTTATCATTTTTCCTTTTCTTTTACTAGTAGATTCTAGTAATCTTTTTTCCACTTGTCAAAAACATGCAGAACCCAATAATGAAAGCCCTCTCAACAGCTCTGCTGCTGCACTTTGGAAAAACCAGGAAGGTTAGCTTCCCGTTCTATCTGAACTTTGATGCCAAGCCTATGCATTGCTCTATTCTTTCAGCAAATCCTGTCACCATTTTCCTGCTAGAATAAGAAACTTTGTATGGCTGGATGTTTGACTGTCAAAGGTTGCTTATATCTTTGTTGGCAATCACATGATTCTTTATAAGGGTATTCAGTTTAAATGTTGGAGATCCCAAGAGACTGTGCCCATTAGATCTCAAAATAATCTCATTTGAAGATTTACTATTAAATTATGGATTAATCTCTCCTACACTAACAGTGTATACACTGTCAGCGTATTCAATTTTTGCACATATGTCATGAATCCAACGGTGATAGCGCATACACTGTCACTCACTGTATATAAATTTTACTCTTAAATTATTCACTTCTCAAAACAGAAAACGTAGCTCCTGACTTTGGTGCTTTGATATCGTCAAGTTTGCACAGGCTAAAAAGCAAATCGACATGCTCTGACCCCATCTTTTAAGTTTTCAGAATTACATTTGGATTTTCATCTTCTTTTCTGTTCCAAATTAAATCAAGCAAATATTGTTAACATTCGACCTGAGATAGAACAGCATGACCTTCATAATTTGCCTCTCTGGACTGCAATGATGAAAAGGGAAGTCTTCTTCAGACAATTTGGTGGTAACACAGTCTTCTGAGAAAAACATGTTGTATGTCGAAACCTGTTTTGCAGATTACAGACAGATGGTACGCAAATATTATTATTTAAGCGGAGAAGTATCGTGTTAATGTTTAAAAGTTCGTCGTCTGGAAGCTTCATTGCAATCCTCTAGTATGCGATTTTCTCAGCTGGTGATGCAAGGAGTCTCTACACAATGTAGAAAGAGTGTCACTGGGAGGAGCTAAATGTAATTGGAGCACAATTCTGCTCAGATATATATATATATATATGACTATTTGAACATTGGGTGTTTTTTCTAGTTAGAAAGAATGGTATCTGTTGGAACTTTTAACATTTCTATTGTTTATAAACTCATTATAGTTTATAACTTTTCATGCTGTCCGGTTTCTGTCGAGTCTATATATATTTCGTAAACTCACCGTAACTGAAAACTTGTTCTTCAAAGAAGAACCTTCCCATTTCCAAGTTGCAAATTACCGTTATTTAATAATTAACCGAATTTTCTCCTCATGCTTAAAATCTTGAATGCTAGAAGATGCACCCAAAAAAAAAAGAAAGAAAGCTGAAAACCACGCTTGAATTTGATCAATTAAGCAGCTGATAAAATGCTTATAATTCATGCCCGCTACTATATCATCTATCTTCATCGCGGAACTTCCTCGGAAGAATTAATTTGTGACTGAACCGCTCCACCGCTGCTAATGAGTTGAGTCTCCAATGCAGCCGTTGTTTATTGCGGTGGGCTTCCTTGGTTCCAATCGGTAATCCGGCACACTCCGTCGCTTTCTATTTTGTCAGCGCAATTTTTTTTCCTTTCTTATTATTTTGTTTTGAATTTTGCCGCCACTCTGAAACCGAGTTTAACGGCCAACCGTTCGTCTTCCTAACCTTAACCAGACAAAAGAGAGAGCATGGCGACCAATCAGACCCAGAAAGAGAGGAAGAAATTTGCCTCAACAACCACATTATTCATTTTCTGATTCTCTTTCTCCATAGTTTCATTTGTTTCCAAGAACAAGTCATTGGATTTTTGTTTTCTTTTTAGGTGACAAAAGAAACAATTGAACAATAAAAGATGAGCGTGATAGATATTGTGTTCAGACTCGACGACATATGCAAGAAATACGAGAAATACGACGTTGAAAAGCAGCGTTCCCTCAAGACCTCCTCTGAGGATGCCTTTGCTCGCCTCTTTGCTTCCTTCGAGTCCCAAATCGAAGCTGCTCTCCAGGTCCATCATCTTTCCATTCAACGATGATAATTCACATTTATATCATTGGGTCTGATGTTTCAATTTCTTTTTTTGCTCTAAATTTGTAGAAGTCGGAGATGGCTGCAATGGAGACAAGCAGGGCAAAGGTGGTGGCTATGAATGCTGAGGTTCGGCGCGTAAAGGCCAGATTAATGGAAGAGGTTCCTAAATTGCAGAAACTCGCCCAGAAGAAGGTGGATTCCCTTTTTTCATATTTTCTAAAATTATGTTTCGTGTTTCATGATTTAAGGTTATTTTGTCAGTTGTTCTTAATTGGTTTCTGTTTCATTTTTATTTTTTGTGCTTTGTGAATAATCCATCTTGTACTTGTTATAATTTGAGAGAATTCTGATGTTGAGATTATTTTAATGGCCGTGGACAGAAATTATTATATGGTTGAACATAATGTGCCTCTGTGTGTGTGTGTGTGTTATCAATCTAAATGTGAGGTAGAAAGTTGAAATCATAGAGAAGTGCTGAAATTGTTGAAGGAACTTAAAGTTTTAATTAGCCTTCTTTACCCTTGCCAGTTCTCTGGTTTTGACCCTCTAAATCTTGGATTAATCCACCGGGTTCATTAGCACTGAACAATTTAATCAATCTTAATGTGAACAGGTCAAGGGGATCACAAAGGAAGAACTAGAGATTCGTTACGATCTGGTTCTAGCATTACCGGAGAGGATTCGTGCCATACCAGATGGAACTTCCAGTGCTGCAAAACAAACAGGAGGTTGGGGTGCTTCAGCGTCTAAAAGAAATATTAAATTTGACTCAGGTTATAATCCATTTAATTAACAGGGATCCTTTAATAATAATTCTGATGTCTATGGCTTCTTTTTTGATGGTTCTATTGTGCTTTATTGATATCTGGAAACCAGATGGGCACTTGGGTGATGATTTCTTTCAACAATCTGAAGAATCAAGCCAATTTAGGGAAGAGTATGAAATGCGCAAACTAAAACAGGCTTGTAACTCATTTAATCCTCTTCAGTTCTTTGTTGTTACCCTTTACTATGGCTTTTCCGTCAACAGCTTCACAGACACAGCTGTAATTCTCATTCTAACGTAGTCTTGCTCAAATTGTCTTAGGATCAAGGTTTAGACGTTATCTCAGAAGGTCTGGATACACTGAAAAATCTGGCTCAAGATATGAATGAGGTTAGCATTTATCCATGTGTTTATGCCGCTGGAAATTGATCACTTTTATTTATCTCATTCATGATACTTAATTTTTTTGGTTTCAGGAGCTGGATAGGCAAGTTCCCTTAATTGATGAAATTGACACTAAGGTTTGAAAAACTTGTACTTGGTTTTTTTTTTTTCCATGAAATTGCTGTCACAATGATTTTGAAGATTTTCATGGGATGTATTCTTTGGTATATATTTACAGGTGGACAAAGCAACATCTGAGCTCAAAAACACAAACGTTAAACTCAAGCACAAAATAACTGAGGTTTTTCCCCTCAACAATTATTATTTAGAGCATGCTTTTGCATTTATGGATTTTGAATAGACTGTTTTCCTGAAATTGTTCCAGATTAGGTCCAGTCAAAACATGTGTATCGACATCATTCTTTTATGTATTCTTCTCGGAATCGCTGCCTACTTGTACAAGTGAGTTACTCAACCTTCTTATCGTGAAGAAAAAGATGATTTGATTTGATTTGATTTGTTTCCCATGTGTTATGCTTGTTCTGTCTCATCGCATGGAGGCTATGACCTGTTAGTGCCCTTGAAGGTATTTCTAAATTATGCTGATGGACTCCATGGTTATCGTCCCTTATTAACCGCTCACTGCTCTCCTCATGAACACCACTTTCTCCATCTTAGTTGCTGTGAAGTAAAAGAAAATTACTGTATACTGTCTTGAGAATATCGATTGGCGCTTGTGTAGCTATTAATTACTATGATTTTTTACATGTGGAATGCCAACAGCTACATCAACACAATTTGTTTTTTCTGCATGAATTGCTATTGCAATCCACCTGAAATCTCAATAGAAGCTGACAAATTCAATGGAAAAAAAAAAAATCTTACTTCTAAAATTCATGGTATCATCATGACAACATGCTGTTTTTATCGTTTGCAGTATACTGACTAACTAGTCGACACGTTCTCATCTCCCTGATGATCTTCCGGTCTGGTACTTGCAGTCGCTTTGCTGCACTTCGACCATCTCAGACGAATTTCTCATACCAACTTCAGTGAATTGGTTTACTATTACCCATTGAAGAAGGGGCATCATCTATTTAGACTGTCGTGTTTCCTGTTAGATGTTACTTTTGTGCGAAAATATAGTAAATCGGGGATTAAAATCTGTGATGATTATCAAAATACTGTGAATAGCTAGCTGGTCAAAAGCCTTGAGCAGAATTTGCTTGCTCTTACGATGTTGGGAGAGTTGGTGCATGAATCTTCATTGAGCTTCAATATATCTGACTTGGGGATATAGCTTCTTGTTACTATGATCAGATTGGTCTATTACATTTATAATCAAGGCAACTAATGTACTTTCATTCACTGCATCTAGCTCTCTGTTTTTCTCTCAAGTTATGAAAAAATTTCACCCGTATGTTTTGCTACCTCTCTCCCTCTCGTGATATATTGAGAAGATGAAGTAATGCAATTTAGGGTCATATATATATATATATATATATATATATATATACATACATATATAGCTGATAGGAAGAGCTGCGTCCCTCCACATCAGGAAACTCCTAAATTTTTTTACTTTCTACATTGTTCTTCCATTTCATATTCAGACCTACCAATAGTCGTGCCCATGTATAGATCAACTTAGCTTTCAGGTCAACCTAACAAAAGTTGGGCAACGAAATTCTTTCTCAATTGAGATTCCATTGGCAAAGCTGAGCGAATAACTGAATCAGAGTCTATGACGTAAATGTCAACGTTTGCAACATAGTATATAACTTAAAAATGGAAATGAAAGACGCAATAGGCAACCAAACTATAGGCTAGCAAACATTAAAAAAAATAAAATAAAAGTACACATTATTTGTTAAGTTCCCAGATACTAGTAAAGGGGTAATAGCATTAACTGCCATCCATCGGTACACAAAGACCGATGCTTCAAGCGTCGTACTGGCTACTGTATCATCTATGCGCTGTGAGTTTTGGCGCATTCAGTTTAAGAGTGAAATTCAGAGGAAGCTTGCCTGTTACTGCAGAAATTTTGCCGCAAATGCAGACACATCAAGAGGCATATTGTAATTTGGATTATATTTTGTATGAAAATAAATTACTATTAACTAAAAATCGTACTAGTTTAAAAGCAAAACAATCAAGGTACGTCTTTAAACTAATCTTTACCACTTTAGTTGTAATCTTTTTTCTTTAGTGCTTTACCCAAACAGCCATATAAAAAAAAGATTAACTTATCATAAAAAAAAGTAATTTTCATACCAATAAATTTACCAATATTTGTGGAAATTAAATATTTGTTGATTTAAAAAATAAATTGTTGGATCTTTTGTACTTAATTAAATATGAATATGTAGCTAGATTTATGGTCATTATAAATGTTTTAATTATATAAAAGAATATCTATTGATTTTTTGACCTGCGTTACAATATTTGATAAATACTATTATATTATTAATAAAGGAAAACGTTAATTGCACTCTCCTTTTTGTTTATTGGACTCCTGCTATCATTTTTATTATATAATTTTATTTATTAGACTATATGATTAAACAAATAGTAAGAGTGAGATTAACATTACCCTATAGATAAAAGTACGTAAAGAAGATTTTAAAAATTAGTATGACAGTTAAGCATTTAAAATACCAATTCTTAAAAATTATTATGAATAAACATGTTGGATCATTATTATTTTTTATTTAAATTATTTATGCTTCTAAAAATAAACCACACTAAAGCACGAGCAAAATACTTGGAAAACGTGAATACAATTTAGGATCCGTTTGGTTCATGAGACGACATAAGATTGGATTAGTCATCCCGTGTCATCCTATGTTTGGTTACATTTTATACATAGGATGACACATCCTACCTAACCGAATTAATCCCCTATTCATGGAAAAAAATATAATCTCATGGGGGAGATAGTATTAGTCATTCCGGGATGACTAACAGATAAGATAATAAAATTTTAAACTAATTTATCCTTACAAGAATACAAATTTATATTCTTATAATTGTATAACCCTACTCCCACATGATAATATAATAAATGGATAAATTTGCCCCTACTAATTCATTTTAAAAATTTTTGACTAATTTGTCCTTACTACCAATATAGCAATATTTAGACTAATTTGCCCTTATGAATGATTCAAATTTATATTAACTATTATATAACCATACTCTCATGTAATAATATGATAATAAATGGACTAATTAGCCCCTACTAATTATATTAAAAATTTTTGACTAATTTGCCCCCATTCATTATTTTAAAAAATTTGACTTACCCCTATTAATTAATTTAAAATTTGTGACTAATATGCCATACTAATATCATAATAGAAGGACTGTATTGCCCTTGGACTAAATTCAACTCATTTAAAGCTCTTAAATGTGTTAGGTTTTAATTGATTTAACCTTAATTTAGCCAAAACTCAACCCATTATTTAATTGGATTTCAAATTTTTTATCAAAAACTTAGTCAAAATGTATTTTTAAGGGCTCGAATGGGCTAAGTTTGAGTGAATACAAATTTTTATAGATCAAAACTCTTGATTTAATTTATAATTCTAAAGTTTCAAACTACTTTATTTCAATAAAATTTATAATATTAGAATTTTTATTAAATTATTTTATTAATATTTTATAAAATATTAAATTATTTTATTAAAAAGAATCTATAAATTAAAGGGTGCTTTGGTCGTTAAAATAGTAAATCCAACCTCATCCAATCTCCAACCAAACACAAGAGAGGATTATTTACCAACATATTCTATCCAAACCAAAATCAATCAAATACTAAATAACTTGAATTATTTATCCGGGGATGACTCAACCTAGGATTAATAAAACGAGGATGAGTCATCCTATTTCATCCGGTCCGTGAACCTAACGGACCCTTAGAGTGTAGCCCGTCGAGTCTCGGTCAGCTGTACTGGGCCTGATCTGAAGAAATCAGCCGAAACCCATATGTTTTCAGCAACTAAGAAAGAAGGTAAGCCTGCTAGAGCGCGAAGGAGCCCGCTAAAGTTTGGACTCTATTTACAGGTTAAAAAGCAAAATTTCTCGGACGTAAAACGCCAAGCAGATTTAGCACCTGGCAGGGACCTGATAACAAAACGACAAGCGTTACGTCGCATCCATTGCCACCCATCGTCATCTCTCCTGTTTATTGTAGCTTTATTTATTGCAGCCCCTAGTTTTCTTCCTTCCTGTGTATATAAAAGGAAGAACAAATGTTTTATTAAGCAGATTCTAGACAGGAATAAGGGGAAGAAAGAAAGATGGAGAGATGGAAGGTATGCAGAAGATGCTGGCAAAGTTAGGGAGGCAGTGCTATGCTTGGTTCTGTTTGGGGGTGATTCTTGTTTCGGTAGTCATAGCCCATTTTGGCTGAGACCAAGAGGCGGCTTCGAGCTTTGCATGGTTTCGATCAAATTCAGGGCCAATAATAGTTGCTGAAGTGAAGCCTGCAACTATTGATTAGAAGAGGCAGAGTAGGCAGCAAATTTGCTGAATAGCAAATTCTTGAGTAAGTCCTGTTGTGTACTCCTTGAATTCAATAAAGAGTGCTCTTTAACTTTCTCGTTTCGACCTCATGACAAGTATTTTTTTTTTCCCCTTCTTTTTTAAAAGAAAAATTTTTTCGTGCCCTGTTGTTTTTGTTGAATGATGGATTATTCTCTCAGCTTTCTTCACTTACCCTGTTGGCTTCCTATCCAATTCAAAATCTTTTTCCACCATGGGAAGAGCTTTGGACCTTAGCCGGTGGTGGCCACCAAGGGCTCCATGAGGACCCTGACGGACGGACTGACTTGCAGATGATCTTGTTAAGCTTGCAAGGATGAACAGGGGCGACAATTTGGGCCGAAATGTACAAAGGCTACAACTAATTAGTACTGCTAATTATGCATAAGAAAAATGATGATACTGTAAAGTGGTCTATCATGTGTCTGTCATGCATGACGAAATAGGGGAGAACAAATAGAAGTTTGAATACTAACATCTTGTATTGTATGGATGTGATAAGTGACGTGCAAGATGTTTCATGTTTTGTCACCAATTATGCAAGCAGAAGAGAAGGGAACGAGATTTGTCCATCATATGCACAACGAACTTAACAGAATTAGTAAAAATAGTTTGGCCAACGATAACTCTCGCTCCTCATATCTACTGAAAGAGATTTTAAATGTTGTTGGATAAATATTATATATACTGACAGTATGCATTATTATCGTCATTGGATTCACGACGTATGTAGAAAAGTTAAATTTCATACAATTATCATTCGTTCAAAACTTATAACAATGTGAATAAGGTTAATTTTTATTTATTTATTTATTTACTTTTTTAGAAGAAGCGTTGAATTTAAACAGTACTCAATTAAATTGTAAATTTTATTATTGAGCAGGGCGTTCTAAAATTCCATTCCATAACTTAATATTTCTTCCGTTCCACTTTGATAGTCCTGTTTTCCTTTTTCGTCTGTCCCAAATTGTAATCCACTTTCCAATTGAAGAATGTAGTTGTGTTTTAATTTTTCTAAAATACCCTTATTTAATGTAAGTTGTTGTTACTATAAATCTACCCCATTTAATAAGAGTTGATTCTTTTTTTACCATCAATTCAAGTTTCCATAAAATTGCACTTTATTTAATGTGAAGGTATTTTAAAAAAATAGCAATCTAAATTTATTTTTCCAATAAAATTAACTATTTTTTCTTAAATTGTGTGAAAAAAGAAACAGGACTATCAAAGTGGGACGGAGGGAGTACAAGGTTAATCTGAATTTCATATCAGACTAAACTATAAAATAATAAAATAAAATGCCCTGTGGATGATTTCAGCATTATAAAATAAAATTAAAAAATTATAAAAAAAAAAAAGTGGCCCCATGGATTGGACTCATGCATATCCCATATGGCCATATCCCAAAGCCCAAGGTCAAGCCCTCCCCCATTAAACAAAACCAACATTCATTTATCCGCCACTGCATTAATTCCCCAGATTAATAATTACGCTCATCATCTCAATTTCCATACTAAATTTGCTCCTCCTTCCTCACTCCTCACTCACTAACCTGCCACTTTCTCAGCTCTATCTCTCTCTTTCGAGAACAATCCGAAATTCTCGAACTGATCAAACAAAAAAATGGCACGAGGCACCTCACAGTCTCAAGCCGCCTCCGGCCCCACCTCGCGTCCTGGTATGGTGGCGCCCCGTGGCTCTGCTGCAGCCACAGCTGTCCAGCGCCGCCGCAGACTCGGCGGTGGATCCTCTAACGCTGGTGGCTCCGGCAACGTTGGCGCTGGCTCCAGTAGTAACATGCTGAGATTCTACACTGATGATGCCCCTGGGCTAAAGATCTCGCCCACGGTCGTCCTTGTCATGAGCGTTTGCTTCATCGGCTTCGTCACCGCTCTCCACGTCTTCGGCAAGCTCTACCGCTACCGATCGGCTCCCGGAGCCTGAAATTTAATGGATTCGGGTTTTAGTCTGGGATCCTGTTATTTCGGAGCCTTTTCAGCGATCCTTAGTTTAAAGACAATGTCTGGCGTAGCTCCTGTAAAGTTCCCATTTTAGTTCTTTCGAGTTTTAATTACTCCGTTCCTTTTTTTTTTTTTTTTTCTAATTTGGAGACTGGATTGAAGAGGAATTTATGTGCTTTAATGAGTTATGGGATATGGTGACAAAATTTTTCTTCGATTTTTAGAAGAAAAATGTTATGTTTGAATGTGAATGGTATTAGTGTTGATATAAACTGCGAATGAAATTGAGGATGAATCTGCCTAATGTTTAGATAATTGGAGGAGTTTAGGACATCGGTTTGCTATTGCCTGAAGATAATAGGCTTAATGTTATCAATTTCGTCTGTTCTAAATGCTGAGGAATTCTGAAAATGACTGATCATATCGCGATTGCGATGGCATTTTTTATTACCTGAAGATATTTCTAGTTATATTAGTTCTATGCTCGTGTTGTAGAGACCAAAGTTGGCTCAGAGGTAATATGTCAAGCTTCAACTCTGAGTGCTCCACTCTGTTCCAGTACAATTTATTTGAAAAGAACAAAAACTACAATTTTCCTTCTTCTTTTCTGTTTATTTTTACGTTGTTCCCATGCTTCTGGATCAGTTAGAACATTGGAGTAGGATCATACATTCAAACCAGTTAATTTGTAGAGTTTTCTATCACCACATTTCCTATACATTTTGATGGCTATATCTATTGAAACTGCATGGGTTAAGGTGACAAATGAGGACGATTTTGTTTCTAGGCTGGATTGTACTACTGTACCTCCCTAATCAATGCCCTTATGAGAATGTTACTGAGAATTGGTATTAGGTTATAGAAGTTGAAAACATTCTTAAACTTAATTGTCGAATTGGCAGAGTACAAGTGTGTTTTTGTCAAAATTTAGTACATTATGGGTCCATTTGTCAATTGTGTCCAAGAATTTGCGGGTTTTGGGTTATAGTGGTATTGGTGAAATGTGCTTATGGTTATAAGCAGCATCTCAGGACAACTGGTATGCAATCATGTTCCTACAAGTGTTTGGTTCAGTATTATTCCTGGGTACTGGGAACCTTTATTGGTCCTCAAGATTAAACCATCCGTAAAACATTAACATCTTCCTGCATTATGTTATTTATACTGTCTTGCTGCTTCCCAATACATGAAAATGGATCTTAGGCAATGGTACATGTACCCCACTTTTGACAATTGGGCAATTCACTTTTGTGTCTTGCATGTTAAAGTGTTGTTGTCCTAAAGTTAAATGCTTAGTCAAAGTTTCCTTCATGAGTTTCAATCGGCTAGTTTATGCTTGCTTTCGTCAAACTGTTTTTGCGTGATCTTTGCATAGATAACTGGGTGGGTTTAAGATGGCGTTTCACCAAAATGAGCGGCTCTATGTGCTTGTGGCAGTACATGCCCTGCCCCTTGAAGCTAGAAATGCCATATTTAATGATTGAAGGTGAGATAAATCACACAATTTCTTGCTCTAAGGGAACTTTTTGGCTTCATATCATCTGCTTCTCTGGGAGTCTGTGATTGCTTTTGATATTTGTTGAGGTTGGTTTCTAGTTGCTAGTTGCTTCAAAGCATGAGAAATAGTTGAGCTGACTAGTCAAGGTTTCGACTATAACCTTGCTCTGATGTTATGCCATACTTGCACTTGCGATCAGCTCCTGAATTTGGAGCTTTATGTGTGAGCCTTGGTTTGTGTGGTTTTGGGAAGTAAGTGCTTGCTAGACCAGCAATAGCATCTACCATTAAAAAGCAAACAATAATCACGCTACTTTATCATCCCTTCTCTTCTATCTTTGCTTCGCTTCGTCATTGGCGTAATTCAACCTTTTCCTGTCTAGGTCACTGCTTGCTGGTTCAGTTTTGGAAGCAGGCCTTTAGATTATGTGCTCTAAATCAGTTTGGGAGGCAGAGAGAAGTACTGAAATTGTTGAAGGAACTTAATGTTTTAGTCCCACTCAAATTGTCCGAGTCAGAAGGAAGGTCTGGATACACTGAAAAATCTGGCTCAAGATATGAATGAGGTTAGCATTTATCCATGTGTTTATGCTTGAGATGCTGCTGGGAATTTATTAATCTCATTCACCCACCACAGCCAAGTGTGCGATCCGGGTCGACCAACGGATTAGTCAGGGCAAAACCCTGGATACCGTGGCAGGCAACCAAAAAAAAAATCTCATTCATGATACCAATTTTTTTTTTTTTTTGTTTTGTTTCAGGAGCTTGATAGGCAAGTTCCCCTAATTGATGAAATTGATACTAAGGTTTGAAAAACGGGTACTTGGTTTTTTTGTTTTTTTCATGAAATTGCTGTTACAATGATTTTGAAGATTTTCATGGGATGTATTCTTTGGTATTTACAGGTGGACACGGCAACATCTGAGCTCAAAAACACGAACGTTGAACTGAACCACACGTGTAACTATGTTTGTATCTTTCAGTTTTTCAAAAACTAGTCGCGACCCGTGTAACGAATTAATTATTTAGAGCATGCTTTTGCATTTATGGATTTTGTATTGACTATTCTCCCGAAATTGTTCCAGATTAGGTCCGGTCAAAACATGCGTACCGACATCATTCTTTTATGCATTCTTCTCGGAATTGCTGCCAACTTGTGCAAGTGAGTTACTCAACCTTATCGTGAACGTGCTATGTTTCCCATGTGTTATGTTGGTTCTGTCTCATCGCATGGAGGCTATGAGCTGTTAGTGCCCATCGCATGAAGGGTACTTCTAAATAATGCTAACTTATCTCGTCCCTTATTAACCACTCACTGCTCTCCCCATTAACATCACTTTCTTCTGTTAGTTGCTGTGAAGTGAAAGAAAATTACTGTATACTGTCTTTAGCTATTAATTACTATGATTTTATACATGTAGAATACCAACAACTACATCAACACATTTTGTTTTTTCTGCATGAATTGCTATTGCAATCCACCTGAAATCTCAATGGAAAAAAAATCTTACTTTTAAAATTCATGGTATCATCATGACAAAATGCTGTTTTTATCTTTTGCAGTATACTAAGTAGTCAAAATGTTCTCATCTCTCTGATGATCTTCCAGTCTGGTACTTGCAGTCGCTTTGCTGGATTTCGACCATCTCTGACGCATTTCTCGTACCAACTTCAGTGAATCATGATGGTTTACTTTACAGCTTGAAGGGGCATTATCTACCAGTTAGATGTTAGTACTGGCTGTTACTTTTCTGTTAGATGTGAAAATATAGTAAATTTGATGATTAAAAATCGGGGATTAAAATCTGTGATGATTATCAAACTACTGTAAATCACCGGTCAAAACCCTTGAGCAGAATTTGCTTCCTCTTACAATGTTGGGAGAGTTGGTGCATGAATCTTCATTGAGCTTCAATATGTCTGACTTGGGGATACAGCTTCTTGTTACTTTGATCAGGTCTGTCTATTAAATTTGTAATCAAGGCAACTAAAGTACTTTCATTCACTGCATCTAGCTCTCTGTTTTTCTCTTTACGATATGAAAACTTTTCACCCGTATGTTTTGCTACCTCTCTCCCTCTCCCTCTTGTGATATATTGAGAACATGAAGTAATGTACTTTAGGGTCACATATATAGCTGATAGGAAGCGCTGCGTCCCTCCACATCAGTAAACTCCTGAATTATTTACTTTCTACATTGTTCTTCCATTTCATATTCAGAGCTACCAATAGTCGTGCCCATGTATAGATCAACTTGGCTTTCAGGTTGAAATTACATTGGCAAAGCTGAGCGAAGGAAAAAGAGTTAGCAGGCTCGGCAATTAGTTGCATTTGAATGTACTGTGCTGAATAACTGAGTCGAGTCTACAACGTAAATGTCAAAGTTTGCAACATAATATACAACTTAAAAATGGAAATGAAAGACGCCATAGGCAAGCAAACTATAGGCTAGCAAACAGAAAAAAAAATAATAAAAGCACACATTATTTATTAAGTTCACAAATACTAGAAAAGGGGTAATGGCATTAACACCATCCATCGGTACACAAAGACTGATGCTTCAAGCATCATACTGACTACAGTATCATCTATGTGCTGAGAGTTTTGGCGAATTCGGTTGAAGAATGAACTTCAGAGGAAGCTTGCCATTTACGGCAGCAATTTTGCCGCAAATGCAGACACATCAAGCTCCTGTAAAGTCATCATAGCACTAGATAAATTGAGCTTGAACATATCTCCATGAGATTGTTGTTGATTATAGAAGCTTGCACCATTCACATTACCAGCTAGGAAAAACTCATTCTTGTTCAGATTAGTCATGGCTTTCTCGGATGGAGGGATGTTCCCATATCCAATTTCTTCAATAGGTTTTCCCTGCTGATTCAAAGAACTTGGAAAGAAAGAATTTGTCACTTGATTCTCCTTGATTGTTCCATGTTCATATACTGTCTTGCAGTTCTGGGAAATGTTGCTGCTGCAAGAGGTTGCTCTTGTATTTGTCTCAATACGAGGCAAATCTTGAGTAGCAAGCAGTTTTGCCAACAGGTGACAATCTTTTGATAGGAAATAGCTCGAGCAGATATCTAAGGCGTTTTTTGCTGCGTATGCTGAGTGGAGTTCCTTGAGGTTTGGGGTGTCCTCCGTCACCTTGATGGGACTATGAGGAACTTCCCATGAATTCTTTGACATGTTGCCTTTTTGTCTAATCCGGCATAGGACCCAGTCATCCAACTGCATAAGAGATGGGCCAAAATTTAGCCACAGTTGATTTCATTGATGAAAATGATCCTCTTGTATGTATCAAAAGTTGTTTAAAGTCGAAACATAAACTATTGTGTCCAACCGCGTTTCAGGGCTTAAAAGGGAGAAGGCTATACTTTTACAAAACTAAAATAGTAAACAAACCCTATAGTTTTCTGGCTCTTGGCGTTGCTTCTACAATAATTGTAGCCTTTTTCATGAATCATGATATGGAGAACACAGTTATCGTCTAGTTCTCATGCATTAACAATAGGCAATATGAATGAGCAGATCAATGTATTTAGCCAATTACTTACCCTCATGGACCCTTTAGACCTTGATGGCCTTTTATGGGTGTCAGGAAGTCGGTACTCGATCATGATCCAGTCCGTCTTGACTCCGTTCGGAGGTTTTCCGATGTAGAAGACAAGAGCTTTCTTGACTCCTATTCTTGCTCCAGAGCAACTGAGAATAGGTTTGTCAGTTCCGGTAGCCTTCCAATATCCTGAAGCTGCCGTCCTGTTAGGCCGTGCACCATTTGGGTACTTCCGGTCCCTCGGGCTGAAGAAGTACCATTCTTCCTCTCCAAACAATGCCTTCTCTGTTCATTCCAAATATAAAAGTGAGTCACGATCACTCAATAAAACTACTACATGGACATAAATTTTACAAATACATAACAAGTAGATAAGTTGGAGAACAAACTTGGCAAGTCCCAAGGATTATAGCTATAAAGCTCGATTTCACCTACAACAGCAGCTGGCAGTGGACGAGAATTCACTTTGTTGTGGAGATAATAAACGATGAGCTCTTCGTCAGAAGGATAGAATCTGACTCCAGGAGGAAACTGGAAGCTAGAAATGGGTTGTGTCTCCATTGGAACAAGTCCCTGGATCCTATTCGCCTGGTGATCAGCAGGCTGGCTACAAAGTACAAAGAGTGGTGAAGTGTACATGTGTGTGTGTGTGTATATATATATCCCCTGGAGAAACTTTCTATCTATGTTGTGGCAACAATTCTAAGCTTTATAACGCGTAGTACATAAGTTCATGCAGATGGGGACGTTCCTTTTTAAACAGGAAGCGACGAGAGGGATATACAGGAGCATCCAAGATTTGGAGGAATATATACAAGTCGGACCAATACAACCAGCTTTTGTTTCTCTGCATTTGTTATTGGGATCATGCTTCATGCGCAGCAACGTGTGAACATGCTAATTTTTATTTTGTTTTACGAAAATAAGGTTGAAACAAACCTTGTGATTCTGAAAATTAGAGACTACTTTTAGGTATTGGTTTTTCTCTATTTATCATTATTCTATCTCCTTGTCTCTAGTTCTCCATATTTTAAGGATTTTCAATCCCTAATTTTTAGACATTATCTCTAATCTTTAAAATCCCAAGCGTTACCGAGAAATTGAATTAAATGTCACTGATACTACTATACAAAATCACTTTAATTAAATTGAATTCGTTGGATTAGCTTTCTCCTAATCCATTTAAACATTCCTACTGTACCCATTTACCTTCCTGGAAGCATGTAGTCATTAATGAACTCATTGAAATTGTTAATGACTAGAAGTTAGAATGTTGGTTTGGAATCATAGAGAGTTGTAAATATAGTTGTTAAATGACTTATTGAGATTGTTTACCATGATGGGTTAGAATGTAGGTTTTCAAAATTGTCAAAGGACTCGTTGATGTTTTTACTATGAGGGTTTAGAATGTAGGTTCTTAAACCATAGAGAGTTAATAATAAAAAATTTATTGAGATTATTTACCATGAGGGCTAGAATTTTATTTTTCGAGCTATGAAAAGTTAAATTGAATATTTAGCAAATCACAATAGGCTTTTTGGCATTTAATCCTATTGTTTATAAAGCGCACTTATGACATTTCACATGCAACGGTCGGCTTATACAAAATTTTTCCTCGTAAGGATAAGAAAATTTTTCCTCGTAAGGATAAGTAGGCTCAGGTATTACAATTTATTTCATGTGAACTCAAATTGAAATATAAAATTAAAATAATATTGACTCGTATATCAATGCTAAAATATATATGTAGTACGGGAGTCTCTTTTTTTTTTTTTCTTTCTTCTTTTTGAGCACATTATGCCAGAATTTGATATGGAATATACCAGAAGTTGCACTCTCCCTAAAAACTCTTCTTTTTTAATCTATTTTAATAAACAGTTTAAGTTTCATGATCAAGTAATAAAACTTACATCTTAATCGTGTTTGGATGGTAAATTACTGTGGACTTTCAATGTGAATATTATGTCGTCATAGAGTTTGGGCCCCTCATATATTTTTTTTTATTCAATAATTGGAAATTTTCTTTGCAACTAATTCGGTTTTAAGCATGTTTGGCCACCACAGCTTCCTTTTGTTTGGCAAGTAGCTAGAGGGATCAAATTTCTCAGCTTGTACTTAATTCAGAAGGCTATTAATTGTGTCAACACCAAAAAAGAAAATATAGAATTCACCAAGACTGGCTAAAATGCCATTCGATCTAAATAAATTTTCGCGTGAAATGTAATCAGAGCACTATTAAGGGAATTAAGGAACGTGGTCTCGAAATGGTTATATAACGTTAATCTTTTGATTAAGGACATTGATATTGTGTGTGTGTGTGTATATATATACATGAATGTAAATGTAGCTAGAACGCAACAAAGAAGTTTTGTTTCGATTTTGTGGTCAATTTTTTTTATATAGATTGGAATCAGGAGGACGAATTTAAAGAACATACTTTTACGGTTGAACAGAAGCAGTGAGCCCTATGAACAATTCTTATGCGAATTGAATAATTTTCTGTAAGTTCTATAGCCAACTAATAAATTCTTGAAGTTTTCATAAAGAAAGTACAATGTTTGACAAGATCCAGCATGGCTTTTGTACTAAACAATCATCGTCATGTCGTAGCTAATCATGACTATGTGGAGCATTTCAGTCAAATATGCCTTACAAATAACGCAGGGAGATGTTCAATCAATCTTGATATTCCCTTTTCTTATTTATCAGAGGAGAATTTTTGTTTTGGTTTTTTTTTGGGGAGGGGGGGGGTGTGGGAGCATCGGTATTTTCATAATAGTCTAAATTTTCCCAATAAAATTCCACATATTGCATGGCCTTTGGATCAGGAAAGAACAGGTGTTGGAAGAGCAGACACGAGAGACTCTGTAGAGCTCTCTCCCAGCTCCCTCCAGTCATTCATGCACGCAGAGGAAAGATTATATGCTGTTAAACAATAGATCGTAAATTAAAATTTACAAGAATAGATTTTATACCTCCGTAACCATTTGCTAAAGTACCCCCCCCCCCACCCTCCAAAAAAAATTCACCTGGGGGTTGTGAAGTTCTTGTAAGGGGAATACATGGTTAGCAAAAACAAGAGGGGAAAAAGAGAAAAAAGAAAAAGCTGAAAACCTAATGTATAATCTAGCCTCAACATTGACTCATCGAGAACTCAAGAAAATGGCACAAATTATGAATTTTTCATAACCAATAATTCATCATTTACTAATCATAGGAATTTTCCTTCGGAATAGGCTTATAAGATTAAATTTCCTAAGTCTTTAAGACAAGCACATTAAAATTAAAATATTGTTCAACCAACAAGTAAAACAGATAGAGAAAAAAGCTTGTGGCTAAATTTGCGATCCTGAAAATTAGAATTCCTAGATTCTAATCTCTTTCCATTTTTTAAATCCCACCACCCCTTCCCTACTGAAAAAAAAGAAGCTTGTAAAATTGACTATATTTTTCCGCAACGGATCTTTTATCCCACATCATGTGCCACTCACTGTCCCACTTTTTATTATATTGCTATTTCTCCTTCATAAACATCATGTTTTAATTCTTTTTTGTTTCCTTAAGATCCAATAACTATTAATTGAGTAATACACAAAATTTAACAAACTCAAAAAAATCAAAATGCATAAAAAAATGAGATTTTTTATGAATTTTCTGCTGTATTTTTTAATTTTCTATTATATATTACTTTTTGAAGTTGTTGTATTTATTTTTTACTTAATTAATAGTTATTGAATCTTAAGAAAACAAAAAAGAATTAAAACATGATATTTATGTAGGAGAAAAAGCAATATAATAAAAAGTGAGACAGAGAGTGGCACATGGTGTGGGACAGAAGATCCGTTGCAATATTTTTCCCTGTTTTCTTGTCCAATATCTTGGTGAGAGATCAAGGATAAGTCCAAACACTATATCAATCCATTTTTTCATTTTTTGTCAAAACTATATGAATCCATATTTGTCGCACACGATTTCATTCATTATTTATTGCCATGCAAACGTTGTTCCAGTTGCCATATTACACGCTATAGATCGGCATAGGAACTATATCCGGACCCAAATGTTTTGATCAATTACTTTTAAAAAAAAAAAAAAATCATTATCTAAAAATTTTGAGTATGACAATCTAACCAATCCCGGACCGACAGTATTAACCTGGAATCAGCCTGTAAATGATACTTCAAGTCAAGAAGGAATTATCCATAAGGGATTATAATGACATTGTTGGCCTGGTAATCAATCTTCATCGTAAAGTACAACCGATTTTATCCATGATAGGATTTGTTTTCTATTCAAGACTTGAAAAATCCAATATTGAACCTTGTTATAATCGCTCTAATTATGACATTTTCTTTTTCTTTTGTGGTGAAAGAGATTACATATCCAAGGGAGGATATGATTTCGCTATATGGATAAAAAACCGTATCTACTATGTCTCTAATAAATTCCATTGTCATGTTGACCCATGTTGAATAACTTATCCGCCAATAAGCCTCCATGGACTGTTAGCTAATAAATCAATGGTCTTGCTAATAGGTGCCTATGGAAATTTCTTACTCCTAATAATTAAAGATGTTTACTGTTAATTTTTTTATTAAGTGAAATTAATTTTAAAAAGTATCTACAGAATAAAATAAGCAATAAATGTTGACGAGTGCATTAAATATAATTTAAATTTAAATGACCTTACAAGTACTCATCAATTACCCATTAGAAAAATCCAATTTCAGTTGAGAAATTCACTCTAGGTTCTAGAATATGCCAAGAGACAACCACACAGAACAGAAGTCATCAAATGAGAAAGATCCTATTGGATAAAATTGAATCTAGAGAATACCAGAGCATGATTATCCAGCAAAGCAATCACAAAGTGCCATTCATTATCAATTTACCATCACCAAGCAAGCAAGTGGATAATTTTGTCGGATTTAACCCTATTTAATAACTCAATTCAGCACTTAAATTTAATGGATTCAAATCTTAATATGTTCAAACACGTTTGATAGCCAAAATAGAGCATCTTAATTAGTGATACTGAATTTTCTAAACAAAATTTGTTCTAAAAAATAAGTGATAAGTTATTCATTTATCACTTAATATGATGTACAGTTAAATGTATCAGTGTTTTAACAATTTAGCAGTGTAACAGACTTAGATTTCAAATTTTAGATTTCATTTTTATCAAATGCATCCTTAGTAATACAATGATAACCTTAGTTATGTTAATACTCCTGTTGGATCTTACCCAAAACAAAAAATGGTGTGATGACAAAATAAAGAGTAAATGATAAGGAGAGTTGGTGCAGTGATAGCTGCCTTGTTCAGTAAGTATTTAAAAATGGGGCAGTAATTTTCTCCGGCGACATGAGCTTGGGTTTTGACCGCACTTCGGGGAGCATCAACTGTGACTGCTTGTCGGATTCGGGACAATTAAACAGTCAAGGGGGAAGCTGGGGAAGGGCACTTTTATCCTGCAGGAGGAAACTTACAGCTAACTGTAAGTAGCAGTCAAAAGCCAAAACCCGTCAATTGATGGACTTTCCCAAAGGACAATCATAAAGATCATAAACAGATTCTACAAACCGCCTTAAATCCACTTAACAATCACATAATCAATAATATCTACCAATGCCTAAGGGCCAGTTTCCTTTGTCTCTTTCTTATGAGGTCGTAG